AAAATAAAAAAATGATTTTGTTAATGAGAGATAAACTTGTTTGATCAGATAGTTTGTTGGGAAGATGTCTCTATTAAAGACGACAATAACTTTAGTCCTGGGGAGATGGTTTGGTGAGTGAATTCCATTAATAGTAAGGACTTGAGTCTGGTTCCCTAGCAGCCATGTAGAAGGCTGAGTGTGATAATAGCACATGTCTGTAACCCTGCATGGGAGATAAGCCAAAACAGATCCCTGGAGTGTAGTATCCAGTCATTCTAGGCAAAGGGTGAGCTCTGCTTTCACTGAGAGACCCTGTTTTCAAAAATAAGGTGGAGAGGTATTGATGAAGACACTTGACAAAGACCTCTAGCCTCTCCACACATACATATGCACATAGACCTGCATACAGAGACCTCTGGCCTCCACACACACACACACACACACACACACACACACACACACACACATATATATATATATATGCACACAGGCCTACATACACACACATAGACACACAAACATAAAGAAGACTTTAATTTCAATTTTCCTTCTTTAATTTGCAGATGTTGATACATTGGTAGTCTGGACCTATTGCTGAATTCTAGTTGCTAGAATACTAAACATCCTAAGGAATAAACACTCCCATTTCAAGGATTTCAGAGGAGATGTTTCTGAAATTTGCCCTTGGTAGCACCGTTCACTTAATTTGTATCTTAACTATAACTTGTTTCCAATTTGACCCTTAAAAATAAACATATTCACTGTTTGATGCTTTCTTTGATGACTTTAGGACCCCAAAAGAAGCCATTTTGTCTTAATTGCTGGGGAGCCATTAAGAGAACCAGTTGTCCAACATGGTAAGTCCAAAATGCTGATTTTTCTAGCTCACTTTCTTTTCCTTTGATACCTACACACATGAGCACACACATACACACATATGTGTATGTATGGATATGTATATATATACACATATAATTAAGTCTCTCTCTGCTTGTGTGTCTGTGTATGTGTGTGTATGTGTGTGTGCGTAGTAATGCTAGGAAGCTAGGAAGTCTGGGTGGGTTTCATTTCTCCATTGTCAGAAAATATGTACATGGTAATAATATCTACATTCATCTCTTGAAGAAGAGACATTTTCTAAGTGCCTATAATACACACACACACACTTAAAATAAACATTTTTGAGGAAACAGAAATAGAATTAGTGTATGGAGGAGGCAGTACTGTATGTAGCTGAAGGCAGGAAATGCTGGTAGAGGTACACAATCACTTCAACTCTCTGGATATTGATGGCCTTGTATCATTGGCACTTTATTAAATGACAAAACCCTAAAAGTACCTAGAACCCAACTTGTTATTTATACCTTTGCCTACAAAACATACTGTGCAGCTCACTGGTTATTTAATTAAACATGACTCAAGATCTCATCATGTTCCATTACTTGGCATGAATTCCCAGGCATAAACAATGATCTCAGATAAGCCCCAGGTGGTCATACATTTAAATCATGCACTGAATATTTAGAAAGTATTCTTTCTTTCTTCTAGCAATAATTTAGGGGGAGTATTAAATCATATTCCCCTAGTGTGTGACATCTTATGTTAATTTTGCACAGTTCAAAATGTCCCTTCCGAGGTTCATAGTCCCTTCTTCCTTTTGTCATGACTGAATAAAATTGTTCTTCTGCAAAGAAAACTACAACCAAATGAAGTAGGGTCATCATCTAGTTGTTGACTGGAATGTGTGGAGAAGTGTGCTTGGGATGAAAACCTTTTATGTTAGACCCTTTCCTACTACAGCAGTTCTTATAAACAAGAGTCCAGTTGAATGAAGATGACAAAGCAAAATGGTAGGCACCGTGTGTGTAAATCGTCTTCTGGTGCCTCTGAGCATGGGGACACCGGGTATGCTTGTAAACAGAAGCCCACATTAATCAGACAAAATATATGCCTCTCGAACCATCAGTTACTGAGAGGCAAAGCATTTTGTTTGGTTACCTTAATTTAGTCTTCTTTTTAAGGTTTGGGGTTTTTTGTGTTTTTTTTTCTTTTCTTTTCCTTTCCTTTCCTTTCCTTTCCTTTCCTTTCCTTTCCTTTCCTTTCCTTTTCTTTTTTTTCTTTTCTTTTTTTTTCTTTTTTTTTTGCCTTTGTATGTTTATAGGCAGCCAAAAACATCTTGAGAGTACTTGGGGACTGGTTGTGGTTTTGTGAATTATTAACAGCCCGCTCCTCTTGTTATTGAGTGCTCTTAATGATGACATTAGGTATAGATGTCACAGCATGTTGGAATAGAAAACTACTTTAACTTTGATGGAGTTATGTCCCTTCTACAAATGAGAAAAAATGCAGGTATTTCATTTTCTTAACATATGCATTGATGCCATTGGTCAGAGTGTTTTGCAAGTGTTAATTTATTGAATCTTCGAAGCAACTCTGGAAACCTGACTGGGGTGACAAGGGAATGAAGAAAAGACAGACACACAGTTGGCCTGTACTTGATCTGATGGAGTACCATCGACTATGCTCCAACCCAGAAATTCAGTACCTTTTGTGTGTATGTGTACACAACAGCACAGGGGAGAGAAGTTAGCTCATCTCTGTGGGAGGTCTCTGCAGGGCAGCAGTCTCAGGTTGTAGTCATCCAGGATGAGGAAGCAGTGGTTGCTATTTTTTGCATGCACTACCAATGTCCTCACACAAACCAGAGGAAGGCTTGCTAATTTCCTGAGCCTGACTTGAGGGAGGTTTTGCTAATTCCCATGAGTAGAGACATTGGTTCTTTTCAATAATACACATTCAGCCAAGGCTTCCTCTGTTCCCCATAACTTCCTAGGTGACCCAAGAACAGTTTATAAGACTGGGAGACATGGTATGGTGACAAAAATAGGATATAGATACATACTACAGAAAGAATTGTGGCATAGAATGGTGTGGCTCCACCTGGGCAAACTATGGAAAAATTATTATGTGTAGCAAGTGAGTCCTTGACCCAGTATTTGATCTGTTTGACTGATAAAATCTAAAGTGTCCTTTCCCTAGCCCTTTGATGAATTAAAAAAAATGGTTGACACTAAGAAATATTTCTTTTAAAAAAATGCTTCTTGACTTGAAGTGTATTAGCAAAATTTATTAAAGCTATGGTGTTGGTGATCCCTGGCAAGAAGATGGTCACACTAGTATAATGTATCTTTTGGAATGGTGGAGGAATGAGAAATTATGATGGAAATGAAAGATAAAACAATAGAGGCATAAAAAAGTTTACATAAAAACAAAAATCCCTTTAATTGCAAGTGCACGATAGTGACTCATGACAGGAAAGAGAAACTAGCCAAACTTAAATACTTGACCTAATCTGTGGTTCCTATAGGGTAAATGGAGGTATCTTCTGGAGAACTACAAAAAAAATGTAAATGTGGAAGTTGTTTGGAAGCAATTAAGACTTCTGTTTGTTGTATGGAAAATTCCATTAGTTTTCAAAAATAGATTTAGAATCATCCCAGAAAGGCATAGCCTTGTTCACTGCTTAGACAGAGACCAAAACTCTGCTACAATCTAGCTAGTTTTATAATATCAGGTTGGTTCAGGTCCTGACATCAGTTCAGGCTCTACAAACAACTATAAAGAATGTGCTGAGTTAGGGATTGTCATTACTGGTGAAGAACCTTCAGTAGACAGTGAGTCTCAATCCTGTTTATCTAAGTCTGGTTTGAGTGATAACATGTAATCCTATAGTCCTAGCCACAAAACTCAAATTCCAGTCCTGTATGACTGAACAGTATGAAAATGGGCTATTGATGCCCAGCTATGCCTAGATTTTGTTTTAACTGAGGAGCTATAGAAATACATACCATTTCTAGTGGTAGAAGAACATGTTATCACCTACAACTTCATGAATGTCTTTCTGCCATAGGTCCATTTGTGATGAATACCAATGAGGAAATTTCTGAGGCCATTCTTGATTTCAGGAATGCAAAAAATGGTTTTGAGGGGGCCAAAACCTGGAAGTCAAAGATTGGAAACCTATGAAGAGCTGAAGTGCTGACTCTTGGATGGACTGACCATTCAGTATATTCAATTTCCAGAGCTGATTTAGCTGGTACTTCTGAAGAATTTCACATTAAACTGAATGTAGTGGTGCATTCCTTTAATCCCAGCACTCTGAGAGTCAGAGAAATGGGATCTCTGATTTCTATGCCCATCTGTCTACAGAGTGAGTTCTGGGATAGCCAGGGCTACATAAAGAAACCCTGTCTTGAAAATGCAAAAATAAAAAATAGAGTTCCACATTAAAATGAAAAGTTTTTTTTGTAATGAGTCTTCAGAATGCATTATATTCATGTATGAAATTGTCAAAGAACAGGTTTAACTAATTTAAAAAGGAAAGATACAAACAATAAAAACTGGTAGTATTATATGTAAGATATTTCCTGATATATGCAAATTATTTTAATTGTTTTTTAAAATCAATGTTCTTCATTTGATGGAAATTATTAAGCACCTATTAAAAATAATTGCTATCTTCATGTGCTTTTTTATATGTGAGTAGATGCCTTTTTATTCTCTGCCCTTTGTGTTTTTCTTAAAGCATTTTTTTGTTGCTTTCTGTGCCACTGACAGCAGATATCTGAGCATCTAAAGCCCTCCCTATTGCAGTCCATCTGCCATCCCAGCCATCAGAACTGTGTTCTGGGTTTCATGTTACAGGCTATGTGCTTTTAAAAACACAGCAGTCCTGACCATGTGAGTCAGCTTTTAAAACTGCCCTGCTATTGCTAGGAACACAGCAGGATTCCAGCCAAGACTTCTCAGCATTTTCTGCCAAACTCTGTCAGATTTGAGACATATGCTCCAGCAGACTTCCTTGAAGCTTGTGAAAAAGTTTTAATCTGTAGTTGGGTTCCAGCCTGCTGTAGCTGCAAGTGTCTGTGGTCATACCACCTCCTTATAAAGCAGCTAGAACCTAGAGCCTATACGGTGGGGATTTTTTTTTCTTCCTCAACTTTCTGTATAAGAAATGTCTATAGAGTGATTTCTAGCTTCAAGTGGAAGACATGGCCACCTCCTGATTATTTTTGCAGCGGGAAACTTTGAAATATTTTTCATCTTTTTCTCCCATACTAAGATTGTGTATGACAGCAAGGGAGTCCCTTGACTAACTCGAGTCATTTCATTGGATTTTGATTACAACTGATCATGTGATTTCTTTTTCCATGTAAAGTTTTGGGGCTTCAAACTTTGCTTCTGGAGAATGCCTTTTGCAACACTTTTCAGTAGCTGCCTGGAAACCACTGCTTAGTCATCAGTAGACATTTAAAATATTCAAAATGTATGGAGAATGGGCAGTTGTGAATATTTTCATGATGTTCTACATGTGCCTGGTGCAGGGCTTCAATAGTCAACACGGAGCAGTGAAGGTAGGTGAGCTTGGTTTTGCATACTATTTTCTCTTTATTGACTTTCAAAGAAAAAGTCCTTTGCCCTCATTGTTTTTGAAACAGTCTAAAAGCCTACCTATTCTTAGCCTGCGTGTGTTAATGACTGCTTTATTTGGGGAGCTTAATAAGTTTCTTGCCATGAGTGTTTGACAATATGCCTGTGGATGAAAATTTGGACGGCTATTTTTATTTAGTGGATATGTTTGGAATGGGGATAGAACATGAGCATTCTGGAAATCTTTGACAAGGAACCAGTTTGCTCCCAGTTGTGCTTGCAGATGGCACAATGGTTTTCTGATGAAGCTGTGATTCGCCTTCATGACACACACAATTCTGTGGGCCATTGGTTTGTAGGTTGGTTGTGAGCAGCAATGTTGAGTAATTTCTTCTGTAAATTGAAAATCACAATGTTTTTCATGGATGTTTTCTGTCTGGTTTTGCTCATTACCAATTACCAATTGCTACTATCCAGGAAAAAAAATGTTTTCTTGGGGTTTGTTTTTGTTTTCTGTGCTTCTGCTTTAGAAAAAAAAATGGGTCTAAGGTTAAGCAGTCAGCAAATCTTTGGTTCTGTGAGCAAGCATCAAGGACAGCCCAAGACATGGAGAACCATGCAAAAAGGACGAACTAGGGGCCTACTGACTGCTAGAATAACATTTTCACTCCATGTTTTGTATCTTTCAAGCCTTTTTAGTTTTGAAAAGGACTCAGACTCAGATGCAATTGTTTTGACTGGAATGCTACTAATTCATGACTGATATAGAAATCTCTGGCTCTGAACAGACAAAAATCAGATGTGGGCTTGAGTTTTGTGGCTTGCATTTTCAATAGAGGGGAGCATATCACCCCCCAGAGGGGAAAGTTAGTTCATGAGGATGTGAGCTGTTTTACATGGGAAGCACCATATGCATATAGTCCATAAACAGGTAGTAATTCTGCATCCAGGTTTCATGGGACAAGACTAACAGGCGCCATTGACAGTCTTCACCCTGTCAGCTATACTCAAAAGTGGATCCCCTTTTCCCTGCAGCCTGACTTTGAGGTCCAATATCAAGGCTGGTGGGAGTCAGGTAGAGCTGAGAAATGTCCTTTCTGCCACGTGTATTTTGGACTCTCAAAGCTTGAAAGATTCAGGCTGCTATACAGAAGCCTTTTCTACTTCAGCATGATGCTGTTCGACATTTCATTAACACCAGTCTTCAACCCTACGCCCCAGTGAAGTTGTCCCTGTTTGGAATTTACTCTTTTATAGACACAGCTACCAGAATCCTCTGTGTCCTGGGCACATTGAAGTTTTAAATTTACTGCTTCCATTTTAGTTTCTTGAATGGGGCAGTGAGGAAAAACCGACTGGATTTTCATGTGATAGAAAACATGCCCTAACAGATGGCAGATGTGCAATGTGTGTTTACTAACATGCCTTTCAATGTTCTTCTTCCATGCCCTTATATTTTCCCTTGAAAAATAAGGAAGCTACATCTAGTGAGTTTACAGCTACCTGGCCCCCAGCTAAATTACATTGTTTCTTATATGAAGTGCTGCCTGTAATTAAATAGAAGTTTGAGGATGCACATTACTGGGTGATGAAACATAATGACACGCATAATTTTGATTTATATAGTCTCTTCCCCCCACACCTCTTTAAATGAAAACAAGATCAAAGGTATCTATTAAAGTTGGTGTTTTTCTTATTTAAATTAAAATGTATCATAGAGACATATTCAGGGTAGGAATAGTTTAGGATACTGGTACTTGATTAGTTTTTGCCTTCGCATATAAGAATATGTCATTTGTTATACAAATCATCATGTGTTCTCCTAAGTACTGAATCTATAAGAGCATCCTTTTCTCCACTCTCCCTTTTCTGACCACATCTGTTCCAGAATAACTATGATGCTAAATCTATTTCCAGGTTGCTTCTTCCTCCTAATCTGAACTTAACTTCTTAGCTTAAATAATTATCCTGTTTATTCAGCTTAGACATGTAGTGACTGTGGTACTCTTCTATGAATCTGTGTTTATTTTTTTCTACTATAAGAATGTAGATAGCTACAAGTTTCCAGGACAAATGTCATTTGAGTGAAAGCCATCCTAATTTTGCTCTAGCCTTTCAGCTTATACTTGGAAAACTAGCTGTTTGGGGTCAACATTGCTTTGAACATGTGAGCTGAGGCAAATTTTTTTCCAAAATCTTAATACTTTCTTTGCGAAACAAAGATCTGGAGAGATGGTTCAGTGGTTAAGAGCACTTCTTACTGTTGCAGAAGACCCTGGTTCAGTTCTCAGTGGCTCCATAAGGCCAGTTACAGGGGATCTGATCCCTTCTTACCTGAGTGGACACCAGGCACAAGTGTGACACAATACATATATTCAGAAAAAGTACTCAGATACATAAAATAAATAAATCTTAAAAATTTTTAAATTAAAAACCCTGCCTGGGCTTGTTCCATTAATATAATCAGATTACTGACTAGATGTGGGATGTATTTCAGTTTCTGTTTTCTCAAGTTCTTTATACAGTTGAAATGAAGGGAGATAGTTTTCTAAGGTAGGCACCTCACAACAGCCTAGGTTATAGATCTAACCATACTATTGTACCCTCTAGATACTTACTAAATGATTCCCAACAGCTTTATGCTTTGCCATTTGCAATAACCTCTCCAGCATGACTTCTTGCTGCTTTAATAAATAATTGTTGTCACCAGGTATGTTGGGAGTCATTATAAGATGCTAGGTAAAGGTAGTATCTATAGACTTTTTTTCCACTGAGCAATGAGGATCTGTCAGTACAGCAGCAGAGGAGTCATTCTAGGTCATGGTAGCTCTCAGAACTCTTTTGGAAGAGTTTCTTTCTTCTTTAGCTTTGCTCTATACTATCGTTTAAGCCACCTCACTTATAATGCCTATAGATGGTAGAGTCATTCAGTGCCACATGAGATTTGAATAAGCCCCAAATCCACATGGCCCACAGGACTTCTTCACTATTGTGCCATTTGCCTTCTCTTGAAACTGTCTAAGAAGTAATTTGCATGGATAAGGCTGATGGGTACTACCTTCCATCTTTAATTCCAGAAAGCAAACCCATTCCTCCTACCTACCCCATTCTCACTCACAAAGTCATAAAGTCATATATGGGAGAGTTTGCTGGCTTTGTTCTTAGTCAGATGAACCAATGAGATCTTAGCGATTTTTCTGTTTCACCATGAGTTTTGTTGTAGCTTTTACATCATTCTAACATATTATGATACCCAAGATACACTAGAACCTTCTCTTACATCCTATGTGTAACACTTCCTTATTAATTTTTAACACCTGTGACTAAAATGTTGATATAAGCTTGTCACAAAGATAACTTGTGAAATAAAAACAATGAACCCATAAAGCACTATTAGTAAAAAGATCTGGAACTCTCAGGCACAAGTATTCCCACAAAGGTAGTAGAGAAATAGGAATGCAAAGGACAATAAAATTTTTCCTGAGTAATGTTTAGGGCAACTCTTTTTTTTTTTCTTTTAGATATTTGTTTTATTTTAAGCTTATCTGTGTCCGGGTATGTACACATAAGTGTGAGAGCCTGCAGAGGCCACAAGAGGGCGCTATATCCCCAAGAACTGGAATCACAGGAAGCTGTTAACCACCCGACAGGAAACCAAACTCCTGTTCTTTCCAACAGCAGTAAATACTTTTAAGCACTGGGCCATCTCTGCAGCCCAAATAATTCTTTTTTATCATGTGATATGAACAGAGGGTGGGAGTTTAGCATAATTGGGAATGAATTGAGGTGAAAGGAGATGGCAATAAAATTAGCCTTCCTGCTTGGGTTGCTTTTATGGTGGCAAATCCACTTTTCTCTCTCTTGTTTTTGGTTTTTATGGTCCTACTAAGATACTAGAGCATTATAAATCAAAATAAAGCCTGAAGCATCTTCAACATCATGAAGGCTTTGGCTTGTTGAGATGTCCTAACCCATAAAGACGCTCCTGAACCTCTCATTACAACTTTCCAATATTTAATAATTCATTATTTATTTTCATCAGGTGTTATTGACTATCTACTGTGTCTAGGATCTGAGAATGCAGCAAGAAATAAACCAATATTTCAGCTCCCTTGGAATGTGTATTTTGATTGTGCTTAGTGGAAGTGGACAATATGCAATCTATGATATATCAGGGACAATAATAATGAAAAGCGCTCAAGTGAAGGAGGGGGCACAGGATGCATGTGATCAAGAGGGAGATTCTTTTAAGTCATTTATGTCTGTACATAGTACTGCAAGAACTGAATGAGGCAGAGGCCACCCTCAGGGTAGTGGCTAAAGACGGAGGAGCTTGGATGTCCTGAGGATGAGCAAGAAAACTAGAATAACTGCTGGAAGGTGAACAGAGGTCAGAAGTGCAGTTGTCATGGTTCGAAAAGTAGCAGGGTGGGGTGAGGTCCATTAGAACTTTAGAGATGCTACAATTTTAATTTATGTGAATTTTATGCACCAGGTAACCTTGTTTTCATTAGTTCCAAACATTTAAAATGCAAGAGATCCTGCTTAACTCACAGGCTGTTCAAAAACAGACTGCACCCTGTGGCTCATGGGTCACAGTTTACACATCAGATTCAGTGTCATTACACTATTCTATTTTATTGATGGAATACATCTGTGACTGAAATTTGTGGTCTGTTTGTCCCTGTTGATTCCACCCTCACCATGAGGATGGCTGTTCAGCAGAGGAGTGTTTCATTGTTTTGTTTGCTGCAGTGTTCCTACCACCACTTTGCAAAGCCTATCACACTGTATTTATTGGCTGGTTGATAGACTAGTCTTGGAGGATTCTGAGATGGCTAGGTGAAAGACAACACTGGACAATCTCTGGTTGTCACCATGGCTCACCTGGTTTCATGATTTGTATAAAATCCAAAAGCATTATTAAGGCAATGTATTTATCCTTTTATTTTACTGTGAGCATGGGATAAGGTTTACACGACTG